AGGATGAGAGTATACTCGTCCTTAGCAGTACGCACCAAACCACTGAGGATGAGAGTATACTCGTCCTTAGTAGTACGCACCAAACCACTGAGGATGAGAGTATACTCGTCCTTAGTAGTACGCACCAAACCACTGAGGATGAGAGTATACTCGTCCTTAGTAGTACGCACCAAACCACTGAGGATGAGAGTATACTCGTCCTTAGCAGTACGCACCAAACCACTGAGAATGAGTGTACCCTTCCAAAATGTCGCGCAACGAATTGTCGAGCATAGACTAGTGTATAAACTATAGCAACTATGTCAAACATACACCGAATTTGACATTACGTCGTTGGAAAGATCTTTAGCTCAGCTTTCCAGGAATATAACGTTCTTTGCGATGGGACAAAGATGAACTGAGCAGCTACGAAATGCATTGGGAAATCACGGTACTGCGTGGTTGCGTTTTTGATGACTTTGTAGTGTATTGGAGTGTGCCAGAGGATTTCCCTTTGGCACAGGAAAGGAGGAGAGGTCTGAATAGAACCCTGCCATCAGTTTCTACAGGAATATTTCCAGCTTTTAGACACACAATTTCATTATCCTGATGATGGGCCAGGCCTGAAAATTCGGTGTAATGTAAATTTTAATTCGAATCCTAGTAAAGAGACTGTTTTTGGAGTTTGGAGTTGAGAAGTGAAGTTTCCTAAAATTTGGCTGCGTTGGAGTTTGCGGATAATTAGAAAAAAAATTCAGTAATATATGCAAATGGATAGGACCATTTCTTGTGTATCTGGTATTGGTGACCGGTATACACATGGCATGGAGTATTGGATGGAGATTCGATACAGAGAGACAGATCAGTTTGCACCCTCCATTGGTGCTTCGTGGCCTATTCCCGGGGTTGCAGATAACCGTCATGTTTGCGCCCTGGGCAGACAAACAGACATTGTTTCCTAGAAAATTACATTCATCTCTCTCTCTCTCTTTCTGATATGCATTATCTGTCTCTCTCTTTCTCGAATAACCTGTCTTCCTTGCAGCTCCTCTGCCACAATCTGCCCTCATGGCTATGGAGAAGCATCGCCGCAACACCCAGAAGAAAGAACACAGCAGTCAGCGAGGTTTTCTCAGCAAGAAGAAGCACACCAAGAAGTCCAAGAAAGGACCCACTGAAGAGGAACATCAGACGCAGCATCAGCCAGATGAAGACCAGGACGACGAAACGGAGACCTGAAATGCAAGCAGCACATCACTCTCTGGCGATTCTGGCTAGACCATGGAAAACCTCAGTCTTCACCCGACCACGGGAAAACAGTGTCTGATGTTGTACAGCATAGCTCTGTCTGTCCATGTACGCAAAGCTGAGGAGCATGATGTGAGAGGATTAGTTTTGCCAGGGTCATAGCTGCAGTTAGTCGTTGATGTTACCGGTCATCATTACTCCTCATAACACTGCTAGCCTTGTGCGTTATTATGTTATCATATTGGTGGAGAGAGAGAGAGAGAGAGAGAGAGAGAGTGTGTGTGTGTGTGTGTGTGTGTGTGTGTGTGTGTGTGTGTGTGTGTGTGTGTGCTTGTGTGTGTTTGAGCAGGTATGGATGTGGGTATGTGCATAAGCGATGAGAGATCTAAAGCAGGCAGATTGGCAACCATTCTAAAAACTAATTATGTTTAGACTAGGGCCACAGCTACAGTCCAGTAATGCATGCACATGTCTTATTGTAGCATTTGCGAGAGAGCCACAGAGAGATGGTGTGAGAGAGACTGAGGGAGAGAGTGCATGCGCGTGTGTATGTGTGTGTGTGTGTGTGTGTGTGTGTGTGTGTGTGTGTGTGTGTGTGTGTGTGTGTGTTCGCTATCATCGCTTCCGCGATGGGCATGTCTGAGGTCTGAGGTGTGTGTGTGTGTGTGTGTGTGTGTGTTCGCTATCATCGCTTCCGCGATGGGCATGTCTGAGGTCTGAGGTGTGTGTGTGACAGAATGACAGTGGACCATACTCGCCTTCTATTTAATCCGTTTAGACATCCTGCTGCTGTTAGTACAAAACAAACTTCTTCCAAGTGCAGTACATTCCCATGAGCTTGACTGCTGGCTGCATAATTGCATCATTTCACACTTTCTAGTCAGTTATCTGGCAGATTACACACAATCTTCACCCATTAGGCCTGTGCATTTTATTCGCAGCTTTGCAACTTTGTCCAACTTTAGTTTAGGACCTGTTTTAATTTTCCACAACTGCTGGCCGGATGAATTAGCACATTTAGCTGTACATATCAAAGTCGGCCAGCGCTTTGGCCGAGTGGTTGTAGGCTTGCCTGCGAATCACAAGTTCCCGAGTTCGAGACCGGCGCTGGGAGCAGGGAGCGTGTACTGTGCTAACAAATGCGGTGATACCCACGGTCAACTTGGTACTCACTACTGGGAGTGAGGGTAACATGGATGCAGCTAACGAGGTTTGCCTCCTTGTCGGGCATTGGTTTCCACCTCACCCTCGGGGTTAGGCGCTGCATCTGCCACCCTGGTATTACCATGATTACAGGCATGGTGGTGGCCTGGCACGAGCGACACTTCCTAAGCTGGTTGTGTTTCTCAATGCAATTGTATAGCCGGTTGTAACGCGGACGTGAAAACTTGACTTACTTATCAAAGTTAGCATCCACTGATCCGCAATGTGTGTTATGATGACCGAACAAGGACATTGAATAATTATAGTAAGTTGTAGCAGTATTGTAATGCTCTTCAGTTGGAGAGAACGAAGAGGGGGCAAGTCTGGAGACGAAAATCTACTAAAGTAGTAACCACCCGCTCATGAGCTAGGGACCTTCATGAGCTAGGGACCTTCGCTAGGTCAGAAAATGCTCTAACCAACCACCGATCTAAAGTGATAAATACCGGTATGGATGGAGTATGGTGCTGTTGTCCTGCGGAGCTCCCACTACTGTCCGGCATTTTCTTCGGACATTCTATAGCACAGCAAGAACGGACTATTGAGTACTATTGTGTATTGCTGATGTGACTGACATCCTATACTGTCCTTAGGGTGGCGGAACCGGAGAGGCGGCTTCACAGTTCACACCCCTGCCTCTATGGCACCTACCCTCCAAGTCCAAGGCATGTTGGGTCTTGGGGGTGAGACCTGGGCAGGCCTTGCCCGTGTCTCACCCCAACTCCCAAGACGCAACATGCGAAGACGACGCGTATAGACCTACAATCGCACTGGCACTGGCAGTGGCCGAACCAACCAAACACAAGACTATTTTTGTAGCTAGAGCTCGGTACTAAGTGTACAAGTCATGTACGTGGCAGGACCGTCACGCGTCAGTCGCGGTGTAGACTACCCGTACCCATATGACATGATGTAGATCTACTGATGCAAACATTATCATTGCTGCAGAAATCCGAATGATTGTGGTTTCTTAGTTGTATACAGTTCCGGCCTCATGAATCAGTACAAAATAGCGTCCTTTTCGAGTACCAGTGCAGTGCGAGTGATGTGTTGAACTCTGCAAACCCCAGACTGACAGTCTGTTTATGTCTGTATGTAGCCTTGTACTGTTGTAGTTCCACACTACGTTACAGTACGCAGAACATGCATGGTAAACTGTAGTGTAGACTACAATAGGTAGTGTAGAGTCTGCTTGAAGCCTCCGTCCACTATGTCAATCATGTCATGATGAAGCTATGCGGATGTACTGATCATGAATGTCGGATTATGAATGACGACAGAGCAAAACCCCGTTGAATGAGAGGTGAGCACAAAATGTCAATGCACAGACATAACACTGGACAGTGACGGTGCCAGCATCACCTGCAGTCTGCACTCAGCTGCAGAGACTCCTGGTGACGGCGAAAAGGCTGTGATTCAGTGTGAAGTCTGAGCTGATGCCTGAGACTGAGTGATGACTTACGATCAGTGAGGGGAGAAGTGGAGAGGTGCTTTTCGCGGTGAGCTCCGAAGTCGAAGAGGACAGGACTCGGGAGTGCACGCATGGGCTGCTGACTCAGTGTTGAGTGGTGTGTAGATTCTACATGTAGCCTCGGCGAGACTGATCGACAGGCCGGATAGGCAGCCTAGCAGCTTGACCCGGTAGAGTCGGCAAGCAGTAGATCTACCCAGCCGTGGGTCGACGCTTTAGAATTTTTTTATTTGGCACTACACGGTCGTTGCTATGCATGGTGTAGCTCCGTCGAACTCTGTTCGTTGTCCACCCTGAGTTTAAGACCTGTGTTAGCGAGCGTGTGTACCGGAGTTCGACACGGAGAGGCGGACTGAGAGCCGCCAAGCAACACGGTAAGTGTGAAGACATTAGCAGCGAGAAGATCGTATGTATGGGTTGTTGTAAAATACCAAGACCGACTTTTATTATTGCTTTGTGTACAACACTGCCTGGATGAACCTCGCTAGCAAAATTGGTCCAAAACCATGCGTCCAGACCCATGCGACCAGTGTGTTCTACACATCCAGTAGTAGTATTAGTGTGCGTCGAGATAATTTCAGCAGTGAACACGTTCGTCTGTTCCATTGGCATTGTTTGTTTTTTCGGATGTGGCTTGCGTGCGATTATGCACAACGTCATTATTTGCCTTCTGTTGAGCTACCGCAAAACTGTGCGATCGTGCGTCGACTTCGTGTTGGGGCGAGCTGAAAAACTCATTCAGAAAATCTGGACCAAGGCTGGAATCGTGCGTGCTGTCTTCTCGCGGAGAAAACCACTCGAGCGAGGGTGGATGTCTTTGCACACACCCCAGCCTTTGCCCAAAGCACACATTGATTATGTTGTCTGCTACGTACTGCAGGTACTGGTACGCTGTCCTGTAGGCTGTAGACCCGATGTGGGGTCCCTGGCTGTAGTCAGTGTAGATATGAGTGTGTGCTTCTAGTACTACTACTAGTAAAACTACTTATTTACAGCCTATGGACCAGTATGGTGAACATGTTTGGGGCAGTGAGAGTGCTGTCCAGCTGTGGGTAAAAGCCTAAAAGGGCATGAGTGTGAATGGGGTGGTGGTGGTTGTGTGTTGCTGTGTGATGCTGTGTGGTGCTGTGTGATGCTGTGTTACCAAGGCATACGTGGCAATCAATGTACATGATTACCTTTGTATAAGCGCCATACTGTCAGTCTGTGTGTGTAAGTCAACAGTATATGTATAATAAGTATGTGTGTCATGGTGTATTGTGTGTTATAGAGGAATGTGTGTTTTCTGGATGTATCCAGTAAGAGGAAACAGACACACACACAGACGCACACACGCAAACACACGCATGCACACACACGCACACACACACACACAGCAGGACAGCTGTTGAACACCGGCACTGGACAGAAACAACAGGAAGCGCGTAGCAGGCAGTAAAGGAAGGTGTCAGCACTAAGAGTAGGTAATCACACTTTCTACTACAGGTATTTCAGAGCGATGCCCTTTCTACGGGCATTCAAGCACCAGGCAATGCACACATGAGGCAACGGCGAGTGCAGTTACGAATGCGGAGTTGGTGATGTACAGGCGTACAAAGCCGATCGTTGTTTAAGACTGAGTGAGGTGACAATCCCCTTACGCTAGGATACAGTGCATGCTATACCTGCAGTATGAACTGAGATATTGCGATATTGCATTGCCAAAATGTCCCTAATGTGCCAGCACAGAATATGAACACCGCGGCAGGAATCTCAAAAGAAGAACATCCCTAGCCTAAAGCAGCCCCCCCCCCCCCCCCCCCCCCCTCCCCAGTTCTTCAGCAGCCTGTGTTACTGTACTCTGATTCATAGCTACTGTAGCAATGCGAAAGTTACACAGAAAATTCGAGTCTGGGAATGAGTACAGGAACAAAGGTCGAAACTTGGAAAACTTGGACGTGAAGTTGCAGTGGTTTGCGAAAGTTACTTTCTCTCTCCTCGGTACGCACTTGAAGGCTGGCAGTAGTAAATTCACAGCCCCCTGCTTGAGACTGAGCTGCATAAACGGTACGGTACTATAGAATTCAAATAACTTCAAGAAAAAGTCATTTCGCGTTGCTTAACCTCCCAAGGTTTTTCAAAATAAAGTTTCGCGAAATTTCATCCGTCCCCCAAAAGTTCTAACTAACGTTACTTTCGCGTTGCTTACTAAACGTCCCTAGTCACAGAGTACTATGTCATGGCATAGGTACACTCAGTGCATTGTTACATGAACACACACACACACACACACACACACACACACACACACACACACGCGCGCACACACACACACACACACACACACACATTGGTGTGCTTTTTTTAAAGGTTTGTTTCTAGCCAGCAAGACACGTCCCGGTATTCTGGTGACTTTTCTGCATTGCAATTATGGCGGCACGTCGGTGGAGTACTCTCCCTCCAAACTGTCGCCGGGCACAGTCTGCCGGTACTTTTGCTCACCTCACAAAGATTCACCTAGGGTTCCCTAATAAGGCCATGCCTGTTGGGACTCCCCTAGTCAAATAATAAATACTACTACTACTACTACTACTTCTAGCCAGGATGTTGATGATGATGATTTCCTCATGTCATGTGCGCAGATGTCGAGAAGGCCCGGACAAGGAGGGGGAGTCACTCGCTCCCTGCAGCTGGGTCAGCGAAGTGAAGCTCCACGTGACGGCGACTCCGACACGGACGACGGATTCGACTTCCTCGACGACACCATACCGACTGGAAACGTCCCTGGCGGTGACGGCGGAAACAGGCGAGATGATCCGACACCCGCACTGCCGCCTCAATCCAGTGCCCTCCTGGTACGGCGGCAAAAGCAACCGACGAGGCAAACGCATGTTAACATCCCGGAATTTCAAGTGAGCTTGCCGAATAGGGGCGACAAGGCGTTCAGCAACAAGCAGAAGTTTCAGGTAGGTGGCTGGTGTATAATTTATTCACAAAAATGGACTCGGATGGAGAGCCAAGGATAAATTTACAGCAAAGAAAAAGGACCCAGAAACTACAAGTAACGCTATAATGTCCACTAACACCACGCCAGTACCGTCGGTCAGTGTCGTGCAATGTTATCGCATGAGCTGATTGTTTAGTAACTGGTGGTGTTAGTGGATATTATAGCGTAACCTGTAGTTCCTTGGTCCTTTTTCTTTTCTATAAATTTATTTACATTGCGCTTGCCGATGGTGTGCTGTGGCAACGTCGTGTCGAGGTGGGCTGGAGAGGGCAGTTGTGGTGTGGTGGTTGATGAAAGGTCTGAACAGGACTGAACAGGGCTGAACAGGGCTGAATGCTGCTGTATACCCTTCACAGCACTAGTATTGACAGTGGAATTGTAGATACAATCAACTTCGCTAATACCGACTGCGGATATAACGACAATTCGCGAATAATGACAGAATTTCCATGTCCAGAGCAAAGTCCCATCCAACTGTAATACATATAATGAGACTTTGGGTATAAGGACACTTCGCGAATAAGAACACTTTTCTGATGCCCACCGAGTGTCGTTCTATGCAGAGCTGACTGTAGGCCTGCTTTCACGCACCACTACTGACCGTGGTGCCTCTCCTCGTTGAGATTATGGACATGATAACACAACCTGGCTATGAAATCGTGTGAAGTGGGACCCACCGCAATAACAGTTACAGAGGGTGTGATAAGATGGAAGAGGACAGAGCAAGAGTGCACACACAGTACCGGGTGGTTCAATGGGCAGAAGGTGATACTGTACGGGAGACGAGGGGGGGGGGGGGCAATGGGAGAAAAGGGTTACAGGGGGGGGGGGGGGGGGGGGTCAATGGGGAAAATGTTACCTTTTACGGGGGGGGGGGGGGGGTTGAATGGGAGTAAGGGTGACTCTGTAAAGTGGGGGAGGGCTTTCAATGGGCAAGGTGGCACTTTATGTGGGGGGGGGGACAATGAGGAGGTATAACGTACCGAAGTGGTTTACCAAGCTTCCCAGGCAGGGAGTCTCAGGAAAAAGTGGTTGGGCCCGGCCTTAAAGAGAAGGGATATGAGAGAAAGGGGTGATTTTTATGGCAATTTCTGAAGGGTTGATTGCTGAGCATATGACAGGATTGGAACAATTCCAGGAAGGAGAGAGGCTGCTTAGCTCACTGAAGAACTTTTTGCTGAGTGTCGTGCACATGCTGGGTGTGGCACAGCAGTGTAATATCGTACAATGGCATGTTTGTTTCTCTCCCTCTCTCCCTCGACCCTCTCTCTCTATGTCTCTCTGTCTCTCTCTGTCACTGTCTGTCTCTCTGTCTCTCTATCTCTATCTCTCCCTCTCTCTCTCTCTCTGTCTCTCTCTCTCTCTCTACCTCTCTCTCTCTCTCTCTCTCTCTCTCTCTCTCTCTCTCTCTCTCTCTCTCTCTCTCTCTCTCTCTCTCTCTCTCTCTCTCTCTCTCTCTCTCTCTCTCTCTCTCTCTCTCTCTCTCTCTCTTTCTCTCTCTCTCTCTCCGCCTCTCTCTGCCTCTCTGTCTGTCTCTGTGTGTCTCGCTGTCTCTCTCTTTCTTTCTCTCACTCCCCATCGCTTTACCAGACCTTGCCGGCTGGCTTATCTCGTCCGTCTGCTTGGGATCGCGAGTCCAGCGACTCTGAAGACGCCACTGGCAATGCATCGGACCCGCAAGCTCTCTCCGGTCGGCCTGGTGGGGGTACGGAAGAAACTGATGGTGGTGGATCTGTGGAGAGCCCCGGCAGGGCAGCCTCGCCACGGACATGGAGGCGACGGGGACTGCGAAGTCCCATGCGCTCCCAGGCCACTGTTACCGGGGCTACCAGTCCAACAGTGCAGCGCAAACGGTGAGCTACCATTGCTGCTGACCTCTGATATGTTGTGTTTCTCGCCGGCCGCACGCAGCGAGATAGGCAAGAAAGAATTTCTCGCCCGACATATTAGATTGCGAATATGGCATCGGAGTCACATCTGGCTGCGGCCAACTACCCTTCAATTTGTGTGTTGTGGCTATTGCTGTGTGTGCATCTGTGTGTGCCAGTATATGTGGAGCTAGAAATCGTCATTAATGCTGTGGAGGGGGGGGGGGGGAGCAATGGCGTAGGGGACCTGGTTCTGTACTTGCCTGGGGTTGAGGGTATTTGTAAGGAACTGCTGTGGAGGTACAATTGGCATGCAAAATGCAATAGCCGAGAACCACACTGAATACTACGTTCCTTGTGGGTCGAGGAGGGGGGGGGGGGGGGGGGGAGGAGGAGAGGATACGTGACCGTCAATATTCACTTACTTCGTAGTCTTTTCTGGCACGAATTCCTGAGTATAATACTGTCTTGGACATGGAAATCAAGTCGATTGACCGGGGCCGGCACCCTCAGCACGTACAGAACGTTGCATATAGTGCACATGTTGATCCGATGGACCAGCGCGCTGCTGGGAATACATGAATGCGTCTACAAGTACGGTTTACATAGATCTACTCATGGCGGCATGGCCAGCGCCCCGTGGCCGCTAGATGTGCCACCGGATTTCCATGTCCACGACAGTAGGAGCTGTTATGTACATGTGTTGTGTGTGTGTGTGTGTGTGTGTGTGTGTGTGTGTGTGTGTGTGTGTTTGGGTGTGAGAGTGTTTGTGTGCGTGTTGGGGTGTGTGGTTCTAGGCCTCATTAAATTTTGGTGTGTGCAAGTGTGTGTGTATCTGTACATGTGTGCATGTGTGCACACTAGTCGCGTGCCCGCATGCACACACATGCGTGTCTTTGTAGACGTACCTCAATATGAGTGTGTGTATGTGTGTGTTCGTATGTCCATGCCTCAGACCACCGTCTGCCAGCAGTCATCTTGGCGCGACGACCTAACTGGAAGTGGTTTTGATCACGGCAGCCAGACATCAATACAATTACAACACGCTAGGCTGGGAGAGGCATCGGACACGGAGGTGGACAATGCCCATCCGTCTTTCTCCGTGTCCACCACGGAATCCATGTATGCTCACGTTCCGTTGAGTGAGCTGGTTAAAGACCTGCCACATATCAAGAAGGAAATGGTACGTTGGTGCTTTACACACTCCTATGGCTGTGTTTACATGAGGCGTTTCAACCCGGGTTGAGTTCGACCCGGGTCAGATTTCAACCCGCCTTGTGCACAAAATGAATGGCGCGTTTACATGACGCATTGCGCTTGACCCGGGTTGAAATTTCGCCCTGGGTTGATTTCAACCCTACCCCCAAGGGGAGGTTTGAAATCAACCCGGGGCGAGAGAATCGTTCTAGCGTACTTCTATGCGTATCTCGCGCCAGGTTTGAATAGCAGTGCACAGGCAAATTTCGCGCGAAAGTATTCAAGTGACCATACAGGACTCTAGAAGTGGACGTTTGGCGGCATATCAGTATTTGACCCGGTCAATTGCCTTCATGTAAACGCTGCCTATTTTGTCTATCGTACAGACTTTCAACCCGGGCTGAACTCGACCCGGTTTGAAAATTTTCATGTAAACACAGCCTATATCTATGCTTCAGTTGCCCGAACGCCTCATAAAAAGTATGATAAAAATTTGACGGTTCCTCTGAGGCATAGTTTGACATCATTTTCCGAATCCAAACGAATACCACCAGCCAACAAAAGCATCATCATTTGTACCCTTATAGATCAACAAAACTTCCGGTGCATTTCTATTTTCAGCTATTTTCGGCCTGGGCCTTCAAGGCCTAAAATGTATTACGACCGGCTGAAATTTTGTCCTTGCAACGTACATGCACAGTACGACAGCGTATACAGGCAGCAGCAGTACAAGCTGAACATTTAATGCGGCCGAAATGTGTTTTAGCCCTAGGAGGCTGACATTTCAAACGTGCCAAAAGATTGTAGTTGAATAGTCTGCAGGCAACCTGCAGAAATGAAGTGCACTTCATTCCTGATGATGGTTATGAAGAGAGAAACGTTGAAACGATACTTCAAATGGATTTGTGTGAAGTGCAGTGCTCTCTTGAGTGTAGACAGGTTGCCTGCAAACTATTCAAGTGCAAATGAAGCTGTGTGAAGCGTCCTTCAAAATTTTGAAAGATTGCAGACTTAAGATAATGTATGTGCATGTGGCCTGTCTTTGTATGCGTGTGTATGGTATCTATATCAGGTTTGTGTCCTGTATCGCGAGACCTTGACAACGATAATGTCACGGCTGGGAGCTGACGAGCGTCCCGAGGTTAGCGTTCGGTCGCTAGTCCATTACGCTGATCAGGTGAGTTCATTGTACTCTGCTCGTCATACATCATGTATTCAAGATGCACCCTCCTCGTTTCATGTTCTTTTGATTTTTTGATTTTTTAAACATTTTTGATTGATGTTATCACATGAGCTGATTGTTTAGTAACTGGTGGTGTTAGTGGACGTTATAGCGTAACTTGTAGTTCCTTGGTCCTTGTTCTTTTCTATCAACTTTTGATTTTGTCCACATCATTACAATGTAAATCAGTATGTGATCAGGCAAGAGATGAAGAGATAGCGGTCATGACAGACATCTGCCTTCATGCTGCTAGCTCTCCATCTGCTTTGTAATGTCAGTTTCCCCGCAATAACAATAATTATGCTGTCTGCATTGTGCGTGTGTGTGTGTGTGTGTGTGTGTGTGTGTGTGTGTGTGTGTGTGCATGCGCATCTGTGTGTGTGTGTGTATGTGTTATCACCACAGCTGTTCAACATACCACCTGCGGTATCCAAGTCCTGGGTGGCCGACATCAACTCGACGGCGGTAAGTGGATGACATTGATTCAGCAAATAGAACAATCCGCAGTGTTTAGTTACCGCCTGAAATATGGGAAAACCCATCATCGAACACCACCTGCATTGAGAGACCACCTACCTGTCAACAGAGACCGGCGATCTCAGGTCCCACTGCAGAATGCTAGAAGCATACACTTTGACCAGTTAAGAAAGACCACCTGCGACATGAGACCGCCCGTGATGTGAGTCAACCTGGAATTAAAATTATCTGTCTTCCAATACTACCTGCAACGAGAGACCACCTGTCTTTAAAGGCCGTTCACCACAGGCACAAGACCCTCTTTAGCATAGACTTTGATCTGCTTAGTGAGATCACCTGGCTATAAAGACCTTGTCCCTGTACCCCATAGTGTGGTTGCAAAGCACATGATTTCACTACAAACGGGGTCTATCCCCCCCCCCCCCCCTCCCTCCCTCCATATTGGCCTATATGAGTAGATGACAGTGTGTTGTGCAAAGGGTGTTCTCATGTTCCTTCTCCAGACTCTCCAGTAGATTATTTACCATTGTGCCACTACTGTGTCCTTATCTTTGTCTGTCTCTCTGCTTGTCTGTATGTTTGTGTGTTTGTCTGGCTCTTTGGACTCCTCTCTTCCTCTCCTCTCTCCTCTCTCCTCTCCTCTCTCTCCTCTCCTTCCTCTCTTCTCCTCTCCTCTTCTCTCTCATTCTTGTCCATGCAGTGCAAGGCATCACAGTTGATTGTGGACGGTAAGGACCGAAGTGGATCTAGACTTTCTAGCTGTTCTTGTCATTTGTTCTGTCTTACTTCTCAATTACGAAACTCAATTGCGCTGTGAGGGAAATCAAGTCTCCTGTTTCTTCTCTCTTTGTCTCTCTCTTTCCATCTCTCTCTTTGTCTCTCTCTCTCTCTCTCTCTCTTTTCTCTCTCTCTCTCTCTCTCTCTCTCTCTCTCTCTCTCTCTCTCTCTCTCTCTCTCTCTCTCTCTCTCTCTCTCTCTCTCTCTCTCTCTCTCTCTCTCTCTCTCTTTCTCTCTCTCTCTCTCTCTCTCTTTGTCTCTCTCTCTCTCTCTTTGTCTCTCTCTCTCTCTCTCTCTCTCTCTCTCTCTCTCTCTCTCTCTCTCTCTCTCTTCTCTCTCTCTCTCTCTCTCCCTCTATCTTTCTTCAACCTTCCATCATTGTGTTGTTGTACTCTGTTCTTTACTTGGATATATTTTCTGCGTGTAGTGATCGAGGCGAAAGGTCTGGCAGCTATGGATGCCAATGGTAGGTTCTTGTCATGTTCATTAGTTTACTGGTAGGGCTTTGTCACCTTCCACATGATCATGACTTCTTTCGTATTGATTTATCATGCAACTGCATGTATTTGTGCTTGACTCATGGCGAGTGGCTTGTTTCAATTTTGATGATTCCACCAATCATCAGCCCCAGACTTCAGCGGAGCATTCTGTCATCATCTGCAGATGCATGGACCCACAATTTCACTCTGGGCTCTGTCCTCGAAAACTAAACAGGTTTGCCTTGTTCGACGAGTGTGTTTTCTTTGTGTAGCACACCAATACAGGCATGCCGGTATGGGTAGGTTTAGGTGTAACGATATGTGCTTTGTATACAAGTTTATGTTTCCGGGTGTATATGTCTATGTGCATGTATAGGTGCTGCTCCAATGAAATCCAGTTGCTTCACTCGAGCGCCAGTCGTTGCGCAGCCCTAGACCTGTGAACCCTGGGCTGCGAAAAGGTGTCAAGCGCAAACTTGAGCGACGCCACTGAATTTCATTGAGCAGCACTGTATATACGTAAGTGTGTGTGTGTGTGTGTGTATATGTGTGTGTGTGTGTGTGTGTGTGTGTGTGTGTGTATGTGTGTGTGTGTGTGTGTGTGTGTATGTGTGTGTGTGCGTGCGTTCCCGTGCATCGCAGGCTTCAGTGACCCATACGTATTATTGTCAATCGAACAGCCGCAGTCAACCAAGACGGACGTGGCTAACATCATCAAGGCAGTCCACCTGTGATCAGGATGACTCGACTTATGGCTTCTCTGTACCATCCATGCCATCAATACAGAGTGAGATGGCTATTACAAGTGTGGTCAAGATGACGCTGAATCCGAAATGGAACGAGTCACACACACTGTAAGCATGCTGCTCATGCTCATGCTGCTACAGGGCAAGCATATTGTTATACTGTAAGACCAGTAATGTTAACGAACATTTAATTCGAATTTTAAACAATTCCGAAAGAACAGGTGACAGCACCGACGCAATTCACACAGTCAAGTAAGCCAATTTCGTAACCGAACGTTTTCGTTCCCTTCTCATCATGGGTAAATACAGGGAATAATGGAAAAATGTCAAATACAGCAACTTATAGAGCAAAAGCATAGATTGAGAACTCACGCTATACGTGTGGAAAAAATAAAATTCAGCTGAACAAGTCAATAACAGGGTGAAGGTGAAGAAATGACTAAAACATAATGAAAACATCAGTGAGAAGAAGCATTCCTGACACTTTCACGAGGATTAGCGCCGAACAACTGAAGCGACAAAACATTTTCCAAACAATTCGTTAACATTTGAAGTCGTTATGTACAAAATGATATGTACATGTACAGTCATTTGCCGGTTTTTGAGATGGAATTCGTTAGAATTCACCTCGCTAACGCACACAAATCTGGAGATTGTTAACTTTATTTGACGTTAAATATCTGGACTTACAGTAGGTTGAGCAGTCTCACCTTAGTGCGATCCTTGCCGCTCGCCTTGTGCAACGCTCACTGCTCTTGGAGCATTTCGAGCACTCTTGGCGGGGTTTGCAGCTCTTTATAAAAATGCTTTGCTTCACAGAAACGTATTTCATTGCGAAGAGCTGCGCTTCGGTCCTCTGAGCTGTGCTGAGGAGCTCTAACAGAGCGAAACAGTTGCTGTCCACAGATTTGGACTTATAGTACCATATTTTCCGGAGTATAAGCCACACTGCAGTATAAGCCACACTGCAGTGTAAGTCACACTGCAGTGTAAGCCACACTGCAGTGTAAGCCACACTGCAGTGTAAGCCACACTGCAGTATAAGCCACACTGCAGTATAAGCCACACTGCAGTGTAAGTCACACTGCAGTGTAAGCCACACTGCAGTATAAGCCACACTGCAGTGTAAGCCACACTGCAGTGTAAGCCACACTGCAGTGTAAGCCACACTGCAGTGTAAGCCACACTGCAGTATAAGCCACACTGCAGTATAAGCCACACTGCAGTGTAAGTCACACTGCAGTGTAAGCCACACTGCAGTGTAAGCCACACTGCAGTGTAAGCCACACTGCAGTGGGAGCCACACTGCAGTGTAAGCCACACTGCAGTGTAAGTCACACTGCAGTATAAGCCACACTGCAGTGTAAGCCACACTGCAGTGTAAGTCACACTGCAGTGTAAGCCACACTGCAGTGTAAGCCACACTGCAGTATAAGCCACACTGCAGTATAAGCCACACTGCAGTGTAAGTCACACTGCAGTATAAGCCACACTGCAGTGTGGCTTACACTGCAGTGTGGCTTACACTGCAGTGTAAGCCACACTGCAGTGTAAGCCACACTGCAGTATAAGCCACACTGCAGTATAAGTTACACTGCAGTATAAGTTACACTGCAGTATAAGTTACACTGCAGTATAAGCTTCACCACTATTTGTGTGACAAACATCTATCCTATATTATCACCGTTAATTTGATCATCGGAGTTGTAAGCCTCACCAACCACCCCTCCCCGTTTGTTGGGTGAATTTGAGTGTTCAAAGTGCGTCTTGTACTCAGGAAAATTTGGTAGGTATTCTATGACACCAGCCAAGGGGCTTGGGAAACTGGGAATCTGTGCGTATTTGTTTGTGTGTGTGTGTGCGAGAGAGAGAGAGAGAGAGAGAGAGAGAGAGAGAGAGAGAGAGAGAGAGAGAGAGCGAGAGAAAGAAGGAGAGAGAGAGAGTGTTGTGTGCCGTGTGTCTGTTGCTATGTCTAACATAGCTGTTCGCTATCATCGCCGCGATGGCAGGTCTGAGGTCTGAGGTCTGAGGTGTGTGTGTGTGTGTGTGTGTGTGAAGAAGGGAAAGAGACAGACAGACAGACGAACACATGGTGGGACGGACGGACGAACAGACGGACAGGGAGAGAGAGGGGGAGATAAATAGTGAGCAATAGTGTAAGTGAGAAAGAGAAGGGAAGGGGAGACACAGATACAGGAACAGACACAGGTACAGGTACAGCATCTACCAGGATGCAGGAATACAGGGGAACTTAGCTGTGTTTCACAGTCTACAAGGTGCCCATGGCATTGACAAAAATTATGGATTTAAAGATACCGCTGTGGCTATTTCAAATTCAACTTATACTTTGTTATCACTTTTTCTTGCCCTGCTTGCAGCAAAATTCATGATCCAGCGACCGATAACCTCCAGATCTTCATCATGTAAGTGGTAAATTGGGTGTGCAATGTTTGTGCATGTGCGTGATATGTACC